ATTATATCTTGCTAATAAATTTATAAAAAAGACTATATCGGGTTTAGTATTATTAGTAAGATATATTAATGCACCAATTGCACTAAGATGTGATACTTCGGGACCAAGTAGTTCTTTGTTCTATGATCGAGATAAAAAATAACCATTGTGGATATCAAGTGAATGAATTATCATTAGGTTAGTCAATTAATGATTTTTATATAGAATCATTAATGAAATTTTTTTATATAAATTGATTGATGAATAAAAATCTCATTCTCTAAGTGCTTGAACTATAGATAGAAATAAAAGTTTGTTTTTCTCGGGTATTCCATATCAAATTCTTATTTTAGACAACTAATGGCATTTGAAATCTCTTTAGGAGTTTCAATAATATTTATCTTATCAACATATATAACAATTATCACAAACTTCTTTTCAAATTTCTCTATAAAAATATATAAACAAATGTGATTATTTTTATAATCTTTTTTTACATTAAGGTGATTATACCATATTCATTCAAATTAGTAATAAAAGGGTAGATATTGAAAAATAAAATATAAAAAGTATAGCATAAATCAAATTTATAAAAACTAAAATAATAAAACAAATACTAAAATAATCTTTATAATTTAATTGAATAAATTTTTTAAAAATATATATTACATGCTTTAGGCATCTTAAGTCCTTCTAGGATTTTCATATAGATATCATTTTCAAGTGACCAAATAAGTTATGATCACATACATACACACATACATATATATATATATAAAGTTTTTTTATATATATTTTGCTAGGCTAACAAGATAACGAAATGTAATTGCATCCATTATAAGAGAATATGTCTCTTCCTTGTTAATGTCGAGTCTTTGTAAAAACTCTTTTATTACAAGTTTTGTTTTGTATCTCACAATATCATCTTTCTTATTTTATTTTTTCACATAAATACTAATTTGTATCCCATTGGCTTAATATTTTCAAGTGTTTTGACTATGATTTTAAAAACTACTTATTTATAAGATAATATAATTCTGTTTAGATTGCTCTTTTTATTTACGTCAATCATCTTTATATCGATATTCTTCAAGAAATTTTGGCTCAAGATCCTTATTTTTTTATTCAAAATACCAACTGCAACATTATATGCAAAAATGTTGTCATAAATGTTTCTTTTTGGTACAATTTTCTTCATTTATTGACATAATTTTTCAAAATCTCTTGATTTTCTTAAGCATTTGGCTTTTTCGAAAGTCTATTATCATAAATATCTTGAACCATTTTATGAATATTTACATCATTTATATTTTTATCTTAATTATTTGCCTTTTTTAAAAAAATTTTTTTATCTTTAGAACCGATCTATCTTCCATGCTTCAAGCATGTTCTAGATTCATTTGCTATATATATTAATATATTGTCCTTCTAGGACATGAATTCTAAAATGAGCATTCTTAGTGTGGACATGTATTTTAGTTGCTTCTTTTATATCTAAGAATGAATCGACAATTGGTTTGTAATACTTTATAAATGAATTACCTTTTAAACTTTTAGTTCACATTGTTTCGTACGAGGTTCAAGATGATGTAAAGATAGAGTACTCCATATAATCTCTTTTTTCAATATTTCTAACTACTTATTTTACTTAGTCTTTCCCACTAATGTTGGAAAAATTATTCCATCAAAATAATAATCAATAAATCGAGCTGTAAAAATATTTCATATTAATGGTTCGAATTATTTGATTATCAAATGAGATTCATATCCAACATCTATTTTTAATCTCCTTTGAAGGTCCATTTTAGTTCGTTGTGGAGGAGCTCTATGGATATATACTCGCGAGTCAAAAATTCTTAGATGAGAAATATTTGACTCATGGCCATAAACCAATTGAAGGAGGAAGAATTTTTGATAACTTATGAGTCTAATGCGAATAAGTATTACTGCATGTAAAATTACATGTCTCCAAATATTAACAAAGAGTTTTGATTTCATAAATAATACCTTTAGCTATCAATTGAAGCCTTTTGATAAATGATTTTGCTAAACCTTTATGAGTATAAACATGAGTAATAGACTATTCAACCTATTTAACATTTATTTTAATAGTCAATCAATAATTATTTAATACTTGAAAGATAAATTCATGAGTATTATTAAGACAAATTTTTTTTAATAGCATAATTTAAAAATTATGCTCGTAATCGCATTAATTGAGTTAGCAATTTCGAAAATGTCGGTTTCAAGTAGATAATAAGCATACATGCGATCATCGTGTGGATGCATCCATTAAAACCATAAAATATTTAAATGGTCCACGGGGTGGATGAATTGGTTCACATATATCCCTTTTAATATGTTCTAAAAAATACTAAAGATTCAATCTCAATTTTACTTGGTGATGACTTAATAATTAATTTGTCTTGAGAATATACGGAAAATGTAAATTTATTAAATTGAAGAATTTTCCGACTCTTCAATAGATGCTCATATGAATTTTTAATAATTTTTTTGTATCATGAAAGACCTAGGATAACCTAACTAGTTATGCCACATAATAAAAAAGTATTTAAATTAGTAAACTTCTAGTTTACTACATCATTTATTTCATTCATTGAAATATTTATAATAAAGACCGGAAGAGAAAATGGATAATTTCTTCAATACATATTTTCTATCTAATATAACAATTATAATTTATAAGTATTTAATAATTTTCATATTTATTGTATTGATATGATATCCAATTAAACAAATATATTTGAGGCTTAACAAATTTCTATGAGATTTTAGGAAAAATAATGCATCATTTATAATAAAATTGTCATTTTAGGTAATAATATATTTGTTCTTTTGGAGCTTTTAAAATTTGTCCATTTAGGTAATTATATATTCACTCTTCTAGAGCCTTTAAAATTTATCTCTTCGAGTAATATAGTCGCTCTTTTAGAGCTTTTTATTAGATTGATGCTATTAGATATAATATTAACTCCAAATAAATAATTAAATAAACAAAATAAATAAATGAATAGAAAAATAATTTTGTAATTATTGTTATGCGATAGAAATTATAACAAAATATAAAACATCTTGTTTACAAGTAAAAAAGCTAATAGGTTATTAATTTCAATTAGCATCATTTTGATATACAAAATTGGCCTCTATATTTTAATTTTCTTTTTCAACGAGGCCGATAAAGCTCAATGAAGTGCTTTGGCATATGACATGTATGCGATCAATGTCCCTTCATGCCATAATTATAATATATATATTTTCAGAATGCTAACTTGATCCATTTTTATTCTTTTCTTGTTTCATTTTATAGTTTATCCACTTTTAGAGGTAAGATGTGTTATTATAGTTATCATGATTATAATAATAATTATTTCGACCACCACTATAGCTATAGCCACGTCCGTGACGACGACCACATCTTCGTCCATGCCTGTAATTATTATAGATTGTTACATTCATTTCAAAAAATGGAATATATCTAGCTGGATAAGATTCATGATTTTTCACTAATAGCTCGTTATTTTGTTTAGCCATAAGTAAGCATAAAATCAATTTAGAATATTTCTTAAAACCTTTTTCTCAATATTGCTACTATAGGAGCATATTTAAAGAATGAAAAGTAGAGAATGTTTTCTTAGCATTAAGCACCCATGAATAATAATTCTTGCCCGTAATATCAAGAGCTATAAGATCAAGATTTGTGAGGTCCGATATGATCAAAATTCTATAATATAAGATATAATAATTAATGTTAAGAAATAAGAACAAACATAATATTAAAAATTAAAGTTTTCAAACAACATACGATAGATCATTAGATTTTATATATTAAATCATTTAAGTTTTATATGTCATTAGATTTAAAGTATATGATAAATTAGATATATATCTCGTAACGATCTAGATAATTTAGATATTTGGTAGAACATTCATATAGAAAAACAATCCATTGATTGTGATTGAGTCTTTTGATAAATACATATCGCATGGTCTATTATCTCTGTTTGTTAGAGTTTCGTGTTGATTGCGTATTATAAAAAAAATGATAACCATAATAGAATTAGAGAGAAAAATAATAGAAAAACGAATTTCACTATGAAATAAAGTGAATACACAAAATAACAATTTTAAACAATTCTCTCATTCTCTACAAAACACTTCCACTCAAATCTAACGAACAATTAAATCAATTTATATAGGCTTCAAGGTTAAGAAAATAAATTAAAAGAGACTATAAATCATTAAAATGTGTATAAATAATTGAATAAATTGCATATTTTTCAATTTTTCATATTAAATAGTGAATTGAATCATGTGAACAATGTGAATATGAAATGGACATTAATTATTTCATAATAAAAATCTTTTAAATTATTATATATTTTTTATTTTATTCAAACTCAATAGGTTTATTTAATGTTTATAACCTCGGCATCATAGAAGGGACGTCAAGCAACCCGGAAGGGGTGTTGACTCATATTTGGAAAATTTGTAGAGTTTTACATTTTAAGACAATGGACGGACCAGATTGCTTCTTGAAATCCAACGGCTTAAAGCCAGGAAAAGGGCAATGAATACAGCTAACAGGTAATTTCCATTTTTCTTAATTTTCAAAAGAAAAAATTCCATAGACTCGACCAATATAGCTAACAGTGCAGTAAGATCGACGATAAAGAAAATCAACCTCGAACTGATTCATAGCCAGGAACCGATCTCTGTTTAAGCATCCATCAATGTCCCTCTTAAACCAACTCTTCAACAGAGGCGTTTTTGGTTCTAAATGGTCTCCTCCTCTGAATTTCCTCAGTTTTCTTTTCTTTTCTTTTTCTTTTTTCATTTTTTGCATTAATTTGGAATTGAATTTGTTTTTATTTCTGCTGGGATTTTTTACATAGTTTAAATTATTTTAGTTTGATTACTGGTTTTGCAGCAAAACATGCTTGAATTTGGCGATCTCGCGCATTAAATTGCTGCAAAATAAGAGAGATTTGCAGCTCAAACATATGCGCAAGGAGATTGCGCAATTTCTTCAGGCTGGTCAAGAAGCAATAGCTCGAATTCGGGTAGGTCACCTTCTGGATGATTCTGACAATTGCTAATGGAATGTTTTTTTTCCCCCTTCCCTTTCATGTGCTTAGGAAAGAGGATGTTTTAAAGAAACAGTATTTTGGTCTTTGTTTTTGTTAGGTGGAACATGTAATAAGGGAACAAAATATATGGGCTGCTTATGAGATATTGGAGCTGTTCTGCGAGTTTTTACTTGCGCGTGTTCCGATTCTTGAAAGTCAGAGGTAAGTTTATTTACTACAAGGACTTTTTTTCTTGTTTGGAGATGAGTTGGGACATCAAATTTTGTTTGAAATGGGAGAACCTCTGTTGAAAGTTTCTAAAAACAAATGGCTGAAAGGATGACTCTTTCTTTCTATTTTGACATAAATATTTGTTTCTTACTGCTCTGATTGTTAAGTACAAAGGATTTAGATCCAGAGCAGCGTTTTTAGGGTCTTGATGCTCAACGCACATGCCTATAATTCTTTGATTGTTGGTCTTCGGTGTTTTTATGCACATGTCACGGAATTTGTTATACAAGATTGTTGGGAATTGTGTTTAAGCTACAGATTTTACATGGAGAAATATGGTGATAATCACCTTAGCCTTGCTATGACTAAGTACATTCAATTTGATCCAGATGCTAAGTATGTATACATTGTAGTTGCTTGGATTAGTTGCCTATTATTTGGGTTTATTTCTAAATGATGTCAGGTAATTTTTTTACGGGCAGAGATGTTCTACATTAATTGCAGCGAATACCCAGCAACAAACACTTCAACTTTTATTGTCTCTTACTATGATAGTTTAAATGAGCAATTGCTTAAAAATGGAATTCTCAAAAGAAAAGTTATTAATTTCCTGCATCTGTTATCAAGTAGTCTACAATGATCAAAACAAGCCCTAGTTATGATGCCAATACCACAAAACATCAAGAATTAACTCACAAAACCAAAACACCAATTTCACATGGCTAGCCCTTCAAAATAGAGGTAGAAACCACGGCATCAAAGTCTATTAAGCTGTTCCATTATGGGAAATAAAAGTGACAGGGACTGTGGTTTGAAGAACCTCATCTAGGCCAATATACAAGTCATCTAGGCCAAGGGGTTTCTTTTTTCTACTTGGGCTGAAATGTAGGTTTAGATTGCCTTTTGTGTTTGGGTTACCTTTTGAGTTACCATAATCCTTTTGGATTAATTAAACCTAAATCAGGGTTTGAATGTAACAAAGAGTTTAAGTAGCTTTAGAGTTCTTTATTTAATTTAGATTAGAAGTAAGAGTCATAAAAGAAAGGTGAGAGTAGAGTTTTGTAGTCCATGTTGGGCAGGTATTGCTTTAGTCTTATCTTGTTGTAGCCGAATTTTACAAGGAGAAATTGATCCTTGCATGGCCGGCCTAACTAGTATATGCACAAGGGTTTGTTCTGTATCCTTAACTTGATCATTTAAGGTGGTTTTATCGATCAACCAACCATGTAGTGAGGTTCTTAACCTTGCCAAAATTATCCAAGTTTACATCATTTCAGCCTACACATTCTAAGGCTGGAACTTTCTTTCGTCCATTAATTTTCAAGAGGAAGATCACAGATTCCTTAGTCTTATTAGGGATTCAATTTGGTAGTAACATAAAATAACTTAGGAGCATTGGGCTTGTTTCAATTCTTCTCAAAAATGGTGTCAAAAAGGTTTGCTAAAGGTGTCCTCTCTTGCTCAACTAGAGGCAACACAAATATTATCAAGAGCAGCACTTCTAGAAAATAATACTAGCCACCTATAAGCTGGATTTCAATATTAAATTAAAAAATATGGGTTGAGTTTCATTAATAGAGATACTTGAAGTATCAAGAGGTGAAGACTTCCCTGCATCCATTAGCAAGAGCATGCTTTAGTCAATCATCCAATCTGGGCTTTAATTGTGGAATAAACTCTTTTTTTTTTTCCTTTCATTATTTCTCACTTTTCTTATTTAATACTCAAAGAAAGCCATCATTGGCTTTTTGAATGCTTGACCCTTTGGACACACCTCTTCACACTCCATCTTGTTCAAAGAATTGTGAGCCCTAGCACATGGCGCAGGGAATGTTTTGTTGAACACCCCACTATATGAATGGGATACTGGCTCAACAAATCTCCCCTCTCACCCTTGTTGTTAGACCTGCCATTCTTCAACTGTACTTTTCAGATATGCATTTTGCTTAAGGCCACTGCATAACTAGTGTACGTGATGCTTTGAAGAGGGAGAATGGAGATTGCAGAAAGGCAATTGAGTGTAGGGGGAAAAAAGGGAATACAAGATTGCAACATGAAGTAGAATGGTCATTCGAAACCTGTTTTTGATGAAACTCTAGTTTCTCACATTCTGACAAGATCTGCACTTGTTTCCTTTGTTATACTAAGGAAATCTACTTTTGGGTGATGATTTGGTAAAGTAGTATGATCCAAGGTTTGTATCCTTGATGTTTGTAAGCTCTTGTTACCTATAGAGTTACTGTTGTGACAGTGAATCTTTTTTTATTAGAACAGTTTTTTCATTTGTTTAATTTATACCAAAAAAGAAGAAGAAGAAGAAGAAGAAGAGAATAGGCAACTCTTACAACGTGTTCGCCATTGAGTTCATTGGAACATGTATAAATAAGGCAAAGGAAGAGTTATTTGTTGGCTCTTAATAAAATGTTTACTTTAAAGAGTTTGCATTTTGATTCCACTAATGATTTATATTATTGGGATCCATATTCAAGTAAAAATATTTCAAATGGTTATTTTTTAATTGGATGTTTGATTACTCTATTAAGGTCTCAGGGTAAGTTGTTCCCTTTGCTCTTCTATCCAAATCAACAGCGGGGGGCTGGTACATTATGAAAATTGTGGTTTAGGTATGAGGCATTCTTGGAAACGTGTAGCTAAAACTTGTTTGTACACCAACAAACTGATAAACCTTTTTCCATCCTTTTCCACATAACAGGGAATGTCCAGCTGAATTGAGAGAGGCTATTGCAAGCATAATTTTTGCCGCTCCAAGATGTTCAGAAGTGCCAGATTTGTTGCAGATCAAGAATTTGTTTGCTGCAAAATATGGAAAGGAATTCAGCATGGCTGCATCTGAGCTCCGTCCTGATTCTGGTGTCAACCGTGCAGTTAATTGGTTTTACCTTATTAATTTTTATCAACTCAATGCATGTAGTCATAGTAGTAACTAGAATGTACTGATATAAACTTTTTTTTTTATTGTTGCTTGTGCAGATTATTGAAAGGCTTTCAGTTAGTGCTCCATCAGCAGAGACAAGGCTCAAGGTATTGAAGGAAATTGCACAAGAGTACAGTCTTGAATGGGACTCCTCTATAACAGAGGCAGAACTAGGGAAAAAGCATGAAGATTTGCTGGTACTTGTAAAATTTAGTTTTGTTTGGTTGCACATTTTCTAAAACATCCTTTTCCAACGCTACATTGACAATACTGAAGAGTGCCAAGTAAAAGAAAATTTTGAAAAATTGTGCAATCAATTACATGATTCACTTCCTCATAGTAATACTGCTCATTATATTTGAAAGCTTTTATGCTTTTGCATGTAGTTCATTGCATTTAATTTTTGGTTATTTCAAGATTAATCAGTCTCATGGTCATTAATCAATCCTCGTGTTTCAAGTGAACCAAAAAATGAAAAATAGTAAGGTTTAGGAATGAAGATAACTGAAAGGAATAAAGTCAAGCATGAATAAAGGCACCGACCATTCACCTGTTTCCATTTCTGATGCTGTTTTTCTTGCATTTGTTTCCTATGCCAATCCCGGGTGCTGTTACTGGGTTGGGCTGACAAATCTAACAGTAATGTGGATCTTAGGTGGTATATTTTACTCATTCAACCATACAAATTTTTAATCCTTGCCGATTGGGATCGTATTTGAATCATTTATGTTTAGCCTGTTTTCCTAGGATGTTGTCCATGTTACATGACAATTATTACAATTAGAGATGATATCATGAATTCTATTCTTAAGCTATGCCGACATTCATAATAAATTTGCTTCTATGTTAACATGAAATGACTGATGATTCTGAATCTGTGTAATCTACTATATAAAAGAGACTACGTGGATTCAGAATATCTGTCTTTGTCAGCCTTGTAAAGGGGTCTATGAGCACCCAACAAGAAAGATGTGTTTTCTTATCATTAGAGGAGGGCAAATGGGAGTGCATCCTCACCTTTCTTTGCTGGAAATGAAGTCTGATTAGCTTATATGTAAATGCGGCTTCATAGGCTTGTCAGTGTCTAAACATGCAAACACTTGATCTTGGCTGAATATGAGGCTTGTTTAAGATTGTTCATGTTTTAAATAAACTTGGAAGTACAATGTCATTTTGGAGCATCTTAAAATTTAGTTAGCCCTAACTGCTTACTTCTTGATTTGGCTTTTATTGTTGTGTTTTCTTTTTTTGTTTTTTGAGAAAAGCATTTTTGTTCTTCTGTTGCATGACTAAGACAAAATATCTGGCTTTTTATGTTATCTCTAGGGTGGATCAAAGCAAATTGGGGTTGAAGCCACACTTCCCCAAGCTCCCACCAAACAGAGCTCTCCTCTATTTCTGCCTTCCAATGGAGCCCATCCTACCATAAATATGGATAACAAACAAGGATTTCATCGTCTTCAAGCTTCTGGCACTGTGAGCAATATGCTCCAGGTCAATTCTAATGAAATTGAACAATCAATCAAGAATCACAATGCTGGACCATTGACTGATGGTAAAAGGGAGACAACATCACAATCATCTGATGTTTTGGAGAGAGCTCGTGCTGCCATTGCTTCAGCAGAGCATGCAACTATTGCTGCCCATACAGCTGCTGAGCTTGTAAATGTTAAATTTGGTTCCTTTAAGTTAGGCGAAGGTAAGTCATAGTTCTTCAATAATCGACCTTTAATTATGAAATTGTATCTCAAGATCACAGAATGAAGCATGCCAAAAGCGAAACCAAAAGAAAATGTACATTGTTTCACTTCGTAAACTAAAAACACAAACTTACAAAATCTGGAATCTACCAAGAAGGCTTATGATTGTATCGATTTGATAAGATTTTAGTTCATTTGTTTTCTGCACATGATGTTTGCTAGTTCTTTTCTAGAATTTATTGTTTGGAATAGCATTGTTTGTCAAGGAACTCTTTCCCTCACAATGTTCGTAAGCCCTAACTGCATTCATTAGATCACCCAAGTATATGTTACTGTGATGCCGTCAAATTTGAAAAAAAAAAAAAATTAGAATTATTCAAGAAGAAAATATGAGAACAGAAGAGAGAAAGTAAGAAATCCAGGAAAAGAAAAAAATTCAACTATATTCAACACTCTATTACAAGGTTTCTTAACATCTTATACACAATGGCTGGTAAACAACTAATAAGCCAATAAGCCAACCGATGATATATAAATAAGTAGTAATTCCTAATTGGTCTATGTGTATAGTAAAAAAAAATTATATTTACCAAGAATTTTAAACGTAACAAAGCATTTCTCTTTAAGGCCTTTGTCCTCAAGAGTCAATCAAAAAACCCTATGCTCCAATACACAAGCAAGCATCAAGTTTCTTGACTTGAATCTGATTTCTATAGTAGCCTCTAATCCACACAAGTGTAACATTATTGCTATTCGACTTTTAAGAAACTCAAAAAAAAAAAAAAAAAAAAAAAAAAAAAAAAAAACTAGATTTAGAGATTCCAAAGTAAGGAGTGCTTATGTTTGTAGGAAGATATCAATCACTCCAAAACATTTTTTTTTAGGAAAGATATCATATTTAGTTTAATCTTAAAAATATCTCTTAAAAATTATATTTGTTGAATTATTTTCTAAGTCTATTTTCAAATTTATTTATGGTCTAAGTTAAATTTATTTTTTATTTTTTGTTCGTAGCATTATATTAAATTGACGTTGAACTCTAAAATAGGAAGTCATGTTATTTAGCATCGAATCAATTATGTCCTAATATTACCAGCATGTCGAGAAACTACCTAATCAGCTAAAAATTGTTTAAATTGATTTTTCATTTTTCCTAACTAATTTTCTTCCCTTTATTTGCATTTTTTTATTTATTAATTTTTGACTTTGAGAGTATTAGTCCTTATTTAAACAGCGGACTCGTTAGGCCGACTTAAAACTTTTTTATTTGCCATATGGAGAATTTTTTTATTTTTTAGCTAAGTGTGATATGAGATCATTATCGATCCCTAGAATCTATTCAACTTGACAACCTCAAGTCTAGGAAGATTAATCTCAATTCAACAATTAAAATATAAAATAATTATAAGCATGATATAAAAGAAAATATCAAAATAAATACTAAATGGAATTCAAATTTAACAAAATTTTTATAGAAAACTCATTAACACACATGAATACATCTTCTAAAAATTTCATGCCAAAATTGAATTGGGAACGAGCCCAATTAATTAATTTCCAAGACAGCACTTATCAATAATTAAAAACGACAACAGAATAATAAATAAACTACAAATAAATATCAAATGGCATCCAAGAATTAAGAAATTTAAAACGTAAGCTGAAGACATATATGTACAACGCATAAGATTATCAAACTAAAATTGAATCGGGAACCGGCCCAATTAATTAAATGTCGAGACAGCCCTTACCTTTAATTAAACATGACAGCCGAATAATGATTAAATTACAAATAAATATCAAATGATCTCCAAAACTTTTGAAATCTAAAACGAGAGCTGAAGACATGTATATGCACAACTCATAAAAATTTCAAACCAAAATTGAATCGGGAACTGGCCCAATTAATTAAATCCCGAGACAGCATTCACCATTAATTAAAAATGGCAGCAGAATAATGAATAATTTGCCAAAATAATAGTTAATGAAGTCCTACAATTACAAAATTTAAAACACAAACTAAGGACAAACACATGAACATATCCTATAAATTTCAGATTTAAATTAAATTAAACACTAAATTTAATAATTAAATTTGAAACAATTCACCCTAATAAATTAGATAATGGCAGAATAAGTAAATAAATTGTAAAAATAATAGGAACCGGACTCCAACTTAAACCCAAGTTTGTGTTTGTCGATATATATACATATAGAAACCCTAAAAATTTTAGATTTAAATAATTAAAATAGACCTATAAAAATGAACAAAAACCAAAAATACCCTAGAATTACAAACCTATCAATTTTACCCCCAAATTCCTACACATTAGGGATATGATTGCAAAATTGTTATTATTAATTACCAAAATATAGAGACCATACAACTACCAGGACATAACTTTAAACAAATTCACCCTTCCCTCCCTTTTAAAACTGAAGAATCAGAAACAACCCATTCACGGCCGAAAGTTGCATGAAAACTCACCCCTCCCTCATATACCTATGGAGTTTATGCCCAAATTGTTTTCCACCCATTATTTTCAAACTAGGAGGAGATTTTTAGAGAGAGAAAGTGAAGCTCTTGATGAGAAGTTCTTCCCTTCTCGTAGTGAAGAAGAGAAAATGGTAGAAGCTTTTAAGTGAACAAAGAACCCCCCCCCCCCCTTTTTTTTTTTTTTTTTTAAACTCTACCGTCCCTTCTTTTTTTATCTCCTTCTCCTCCTTCTCCTTTTGTTTCTGTCACCCGCTCTTCTTTTTCAAATCATCCCTTTTTCAATATTAATCATTTGATCTTCTATCCTGGCTCATGACCCTTCCTTTCCCATCCCTAAAAATCCTCCGACTGTTATTACCATTTTTCCTTCTTTGCAGCCGAGAGTTATGGTGAGGGTTACTGAGCCATGACCAAGCATGGCCTGGTGGGGAGGAGTCAGTGTGAGGGAAGGGATAGGTGAGGTTGCAGATCAGTAGAGTTGGTGGTCTCTAGTGAACTAAAGAAGGAAAAATGGAGAAGCAGAGAGCCATGCTCTCTGTTTCTTTCTTCTGTAGAACGGCGCTAAACCAGGGGGAGCGACTGTAATTTTGGCCAGGCGGACGACAGATCGTTCGGACGAACATTCAAGTTCGTCCTGTCGTCAGCGTGATTCTCCCAATTGCATCCTTTCGTGTTATAATTTCCTTTCAATTGAGTCCTCGGGTGGAGTATTTTGGTCCTTTTTGTCTCAATTGTTACTGATTAGCCCTCCTATTATTTATAAATTGACCCACAAAAGTTTTAAATTAATTACAATTAAAATCCCAAAATCCAAGAATAAAACTCTTCCTTTATTTATGCTCCTCTTCTTTTCTTTTCAAATTTTGATATTTATGATAAAATAATGAATGAGAATTTAAACTAAAAATTTAAATATTAAATGAAACCGAAAACTAATAATAACGACAATAACAATAGCAGGAGCAGCAACAGCAGCAGCAATAATAATAATAATAAAGAATAATCATTAAAAAAAAAAAAAACTCTAAATCATCATGGGTCAAATTTGGAGTTATAACAAACACCATGCCATGTGAAGTGATACCCAATCCATAGTATAAGAAGATGCCATATAACCCGATGCCATTAGAAGAAACATTAAGCTCGAATACCATTATTGTTTTGGGATCTTCCTCGAGTTTTTTTTTGCTCCTACATCTATTTCTATTATCACTGAACTCTGTTTCAATATCCATGTTAAGTCAAACCCTTCATAAGTCAACTATGTAAATAAAACTTGATGTCATTCCAACCTCTTCTGTATTATTAGTCCCATTTTCGAATATCCAAACAAAAAGAACCTATGTTGATTTTCAAGTTTATTTTTAGTCTTGAAATTTCTAGAAATTGCCTCAATGATTATAATCTATTGACTTTCCAAATTCATTAAGTAGTTTCTACTCAAACTAGTAAATTCCATACATTTTCAAGCTATAAACAACCAAACAAATTCATATAATACCATGTTTATAGGCTAGCTAAGCATTACAACCTTAAATTTTGAACCTCTAAGTTCTTGACCAACCACTCCTAACTCATCAACCATTGTTCTATTGGAGTCAAATCTAACGATAACATTAATTTTGAGTTTTCCATTATTGTAGAAAAAGGTTAGCTCAATACATTGAAACCTTGTATTAGTAAAAATAATTTCTCTCCACAATATTGATAGAAATTTCAAGCAAATTCCTTCTAATTTCTGTGAAGTCAAAGTCCAACAAACCCAAGGCAAACTACATTCAAACTTTATATTAGTAAAAATAATTTCTCTCTCCACAGTATTCATAGAAATTTCAAGAAGATCCCTCCTAATTTCTATAAAGGCAAAGTCGAACAAACCCAAGGCAAACTACATCTTATTGAAGGAATTTTGCACTAAAATTGCAATGCCATTACGCTTGTAAGTAGGTGCCAATTGAGTTGCAAATGAAAAAGAAACTTGTGCCTTCATTGTGGCTAGCTCATTCCCTTTCACTTTCAACTCCCCATATACTTTTATGTTAGACCACCACATTCTGTACCTATGTCTAAAAAAGTTTTCCTCACACCAAAGACATAAAAAGCCATTAAATAGTAACAAAAAAAATTTCTCCTCCCATGTAGGTATCATTAATACTCACTAAAAACTCCAAAGTATATTGCTCGAGAATATTAACAAGTTTACTTTTAAAATCATATCAAAACCTTCAAAAGAAACAATGAAAGTTTTATAATAAACCTTCCTTTAATACTGACATAAAATATAATAGCCAAAGATACAAATGGACTAGACACAAACTTTATGTTCTGTAAAAGCTTAATGATTGCTATCCATAGAGGTCCATGCGTGGGTATGTATGACTTCTACACACTTCACAAGAAGATAATAGTACCATAATTTATTACACAAACTTATAGGCTCAATAACCAAATCAACAAATTCTTGATCATCTCTAATATCAAATGATTGTTTAAGCTCAATTAACAAACTTTTT